AATTTAAATAAAAATTAAAATCTATTTAATTGCAACGTACAACTAAATCGCGTATTTTATCAGTAAGATATGTAATATTCGTACTTTTTTTCATATTTTTGCTATGTATAATATTTGACTAATTTTAATTTTCTAAATTTTCAGTATGTTGCGTGAGTTTCAAATTTAATAAAAATATACTAATTGTAAGTACTTTGCGATGGACTTAAATATTTTTGTATACCTACACATAAAAGTGCATTATATTATTTCTACAATAATTAGATCTGCATAGTAAAATTATAACATTACTCAACAATATTGTATAATACAATATTATACTGTAAAATTGTACAAGGATAATACTGCTATACAGTAATACTGAAACAATATTGTAACAATATTGTATAATATTACATAATTTCTACAATAATATTGTATTACATTGTTACACAATAAAATTACATAATATTGTATAATATACCATTTCTACAGTAACATTACAATACTATTTCAGCAATAACTAATTCCTCTAAATCTCTACAACTACGTTTGACTTTTTCCTCCTTCCAAGTACACGTGAACGACATTAGCTGTTAAGGATACTTAAGTTTACGATACGGACGCGACTCTGCTATTTTTCAGATTAAGGTTTGAATACGCGTTTAATGGTTTCGTTCGTTAGTTATTCCTTATTGTCAGGAGGGCTCCAAACCTCTCATAAAAGAGGAGAATTTAGAGTTTCTTCGTGCATCTCAATAGCAATTGACGTATCATAAACCCACGCGAGCTGAGGCACATGCGAGCTAGCGAGCGGTACCGTTACCCTGGGTTTGTCCCAGAAGCTCAGGTGACGCGTATCTCACCCAGAACACCTCTTCCCTAAGGGTGAGCGGTTGGCGTCGGGCGTCGACCAAAGCCCTAACTTGATTGGGAGTTTTGGCCCCCCACACAAATCTCACCCCCGTCAAGGGACCCAAATGGACGGACAAAAACCGTATAAAGGGACTGGGGTGATAGACAAAAAGGACATTGCTGTAAGAACACATTAGTGAAACATAGAATCTGAACTCTGGTACGAACGATTACACGAATCTTGAACCTCAGGACATTGGACTCGCACACATTTAACATTTAAGAACTCAGTTACATTGCATTACTGTTACATAACAAACTGTGTTGCAAATGAAGAGTTATTTGCTATATAATCAGGCTTCATGAACATTGTGGGAGCCAACATTAGCTATTAGTAAAATGCGATAAATTATCACGAAACAGAACTTGTCCGCAATTTATTTGAATTAATCTATGATTAAATTCGTGTGTTTCAGGGAATGCATTTCTGGTGAACGTTGCATTGGCAGACCTATTAGTAACAGGACTCGTGATACCAGTATCAGTGATTGTGATCCTGGCGGGGCATGAAGAGTCATTGAGCACATGTCGATTCGAATGTACTCTCGAGGCCCTCTGCTTTCTGGTCACAGTGTTAACACTGGCCACAATAGCTGCCGAAAATTACACTCGTTTGTGTCTACCACCTGAAAGGTAAGGACGATAATTCATCCTGAATTTAAAACGTCACGTTTCTACTGACCGCAGTTTTCGGTGGACTTTAGCTTTCACGATAGTAACGCTGATAAACGATACACGAAGCAGAAGTGAATTTATTCTTAAGAATGGAGCATTTGCGTGAAATGTAGAAATTCGTGAAAGAAAGGTGCAATAAAGAGAAAAATATAAAAAGGACTAACGAAATGGTAGTTATTTGTAGATATATATAGCGTAACGTTTACTTGAACCAGAAATTCTTTTATACTTTTTGTTCTGTCGAAGAAAAGTCAGAATCTTTACATGCATGAAGATGAAAAGTAGAATTACCGATATAATGTCTCGTTGAATAATTCTTTGATTACATGCTCATTAAAAGAAAAGAAGGAGTCGAAGGTAACAGTACGGATGAACGAGTAATTTTTTTACTAACATTCAGAACGATTTGATTTGGAAGTTTACACGATATGTCACCTGATCAATTGATTTTGTTATGTACTAGAAATTTTAATTATCCTCGAAGAAAATCTCACAATTCTACAATTCTTCCAGCGAGTCTAATTAATAACGGAAAGCTCTAATGTAATCGTATTGTGATCCGATTACTCGTTAACCCGATTAGTTCTTGATCCAAGCACAATCAGCTTAAAACATAAACGTAACGTTGACCGAAACGAGGAAATCGTAATAATTAATCGAAATGCAACCTCAACAAACAGAAGTAAGTTTCGCTACTGTTTACGATTTCGTGCTTCGTTTAAAAAATGCCGCGAAATTTGAAATGCCGACAAATACTACAAATTGAAAAATTTATTAATATTTGCTACGAACAGTTTTCTCAAATTATTTTACACGTTATTAAGAGTAAACTACGTCGTACGAACGTAAGTTTTATGTTTACCAGTTACATAGTTACAATTGTTTAAACTTTCGTTACAGTAAAATATTACCTAACCTCAAAATCGAGTCTTACGCTAAATCAAGACAGTTTTGTTCGAACAATTTTCTAAAATTACTGTAAATTCAATGAATGTTATCAGTATTATCGTGAACAGTAAAATAACTACTTTTAAATGAAGAAAAAAAGAAAACAGTAGGTTGCATGAAAGCATTTCCATTTTCCGTTGCTGATTACTTAATTAGAAATTGAATTCTTGAACTTTTCTCCAATTTTATTAATATCACAGTTAAGCTGCAAAAATTAGAAATGCGGTTACTAGAAAACAACTGCAAGACCCAAGTTTAATTATTGCACTATAATACCTTAATATAAAAAGTTATACATAGAGCTATTGAATTTTCCATTACCAATAAAGGAAAGTAATGAAAATTTCAAAAAAGGACAATATTTCTATTGAAAAGCATCGTATGTGTCTATAAGAAATTTTTACGCTTCCAAAATCTAAGGACAGATCTATATCGTACATAGAACTACTCAATTTTTAATTATCGATAAAAGACAGCAATGAAAATTTCAGAAATACTTGAAAATATTAAATAAACGTTAAATGTTAAACAATATTTCCACGAAGAAGATTCTATATATACGTCTATAAAGAAACGTTTACACTTCCAAAGTGGAAGGAAAGACACACACAGATCGAACCTTGCAAACTCTATCAAACATTTACGATCAAAAGGGATCAAATAGTATTTAAAGGACGACCACTGTTCTTATGTTAGAGAGGAACATGTAGCATCCATTGTTCCTCTGCGTGTGCTTCACCTTTTGCTTCGCCAGACACTAACAGAGGCCACCGTAATTTCAAGTACTATTGTTGCTAACGGCAGTACGGTCGCAGGGGATTAAAGGGCTTTTCGAGTGAAGCTTAAACCTGCACGTATACAGCCATGTCATAGTTACTGTCCTACAAACGATCCTGCTGCATGCGTTCGCTTAGCGATCGAAAATAGATGCACGATCATTTTAGGATTATGAAAAACTCGTAAAAAAATTTCTTCCTCTTTTGAATTTATATTTAAGCGGTACCGACCACAGCGAGGCTTATAGAAACAGGTAAAACTTTGGGAATTTTTTCTCAAGTAACTACTACATGAAAAGTTGCAATTTTTTTTTTAGAGAATATGAATACAGCTTTCAGCTTTCTTCTGCAATTTTTGCAAAGTAAAAATGTTACGAAACGGAGAAGTTATTCCCCTAATTGTGGAAACTTTTCCGCTAGAACTTCGATTGTTGGTCGCAAGGATTAGAACGTCTGAAATAGAAAATTGTTTTAAATTTATGAATAAAAATGTGTTACCTACAATGTAGCTTAAGATTTTTTAGATACGTGAATTATTTAATTTTTCAGAAAAGTTTGAAGTTGACTTCTTTTAATAAAAAGAGGTTTTTCTTCTTCAAACCACCGGTTTCTAACAGAATCACAGTTTTCGAAAAATCCTGCGCTACGTGGTAGATAATACATTTTTATTCATAGAGGAAAAAGAATTTTCTATTTCAGACTTTCCAACCTGCACCAGCGATGGCGGCCAGCCATCGACGTTCTAACAGAAGAGGTTCCATAATTAGCTGAATAACTCCTCCATTTTGTACCATTTTTACACTTTCAAAAATTCGAGAAAATAGCCGAAAGTTACGTTTACATCCCCCGACAGAAATTAGAACTTCTAGTTTAGCAGTTACCTGTGAAAAAAATTCCGAAACTTTACTTACTTTCAGACGCCCCAGATCACGGAGATTTTCGAATGCTGCTGCTTCGCTGCATAATGTACCTAGCCTAGAGAGGAATACTCCATTTTGTAGACGCTTTCATACTACAGCTTCGCGAGAAAAAAAAAGGGAACAGTTTTCATTCAACTAATGGAGACTTCTTGAATAAACTTCAACTTGCGTGGCGCAGTATTGCTGTACTTGATATTTTCGAGAATGGGAGATCTTTTCGTACATTTTCAAGCGTTCGAAACAATGTTTTCAGGTTATGGTAGATGCAGAAGGCATGTCTTCTACTTTATGAAATTTTACGAAGATCTGCTTTTAAAGGATTTACGATCCTTTTTTTTCTCCAAGCAGATAAATTACTTTATCGTACGAGGAGAACAATAGAAGCTAGTCGCGCAGCACACTCAGCAATTCGATCTATTGCTCGGCTGTCGTCATTTGTATTTGAGATTGATGTCGTAATGGACCGTATATCCAGGACATAAATAAAGGAAACGATAAGTTTTTCACTGCTTTATCGACCTTAGATAAAATTCCTTTTATGTATGGATTCGAATAAAAATTATATATTGCCTAAATTGAACGGTAGTCTCTTCGAGTTCCATTGATAATTGTAAATGAAATATTTCACTGCTATTTTATTAGGCTACTATATGCCATTGTTGAGTAAATTTTTCAAGAATTTCTTCGCGCTGTATCAATAAAATATCGTTAGATTCGCCGTGATCTGCGAAGACTGCAATCACTAATTCAGTTTGCTTCGTTAACGTGCCAATGCGGTATTCAGTGTGCTTCTACAAGTTTCAGTGGGTTCATAAATACGCTATTGTTTCGAATTCGAACAGAAGCAGCATATCGATGAACAGGAATTTAAGTCATTATTCGCATTATCTTGCGCTGAGGCGAATTGAGAAGAATTGGGTCGTGGAATTATTATTGAAACATTTTCTGTAAATGCAAAAAGTGAATCCTACGTGCATTCATGTGTAACGTGTTTTTTGACAATGAGAAACAATTGTCTGCCACGTAGGTGGTCAGTAAGGTCACAAAAGTTGTTAAGAGGTATATTAAAAAAGAGAATAAAATTGTTATCATTTTTCTGTTTTATAGATAAACATTCGTATTATCGTTCTTTTATTATTATTATCACGTTGTCTTGATATCATGTTTCAAATTAAAATGTAGAAGCAGAGACTATAGCATAAATATTGTTTTAAACATTCGGTCAAATATTTGCATATTACGATACTCCGGTTTATTTTAAACTCTTTTAACCCTTTCATCACTATTGGCGCCTATAGGCGTTTCGAAAATTTCCTCGCGCTATACTGTTGGAGCCTTATCGATACACTTCCACCTTAATTTAATAAACCGAATTTTAAAACGGTACGGTCGAAATATTAAATTTCGCAGCCGTGGTTAAAAATTTACCGCCAGTCATCCACGTTACACGATAAAATCAGCCGTAGCGAAAGGGTTAAGAGAAAATGCGTTTTATTTCGTAACTGTCGAAAGTAACAAAAAATTTTTCAAAAATTATCCACTTCTAATTTTTGTTCGGAGTTCGCAAAGTGGCACGAATAAGTAAATTTTAATCAAATCGACCCAATATCGTATATTTAAAAAACATGAGTAAGATTTTTAATTATTACGGCTTAATATTGTAATAATTTATCAAATTTGTACAAAGTTTGGGAGAAAAGAATTTGTGACTTGATTTTGGGTGAAATTCTCCCAATTTTCGCGCAAGGGTTAAGAAAACTATTCGAAAAATATAAAAATATCATTACTGGAAATATGAAGTATCATTCCTTCAACGTAAAGGAATTCGTCGTCCTTCAAAAAAAAAAAAAAAATGATAAAGCATCCATTTTACGTGAACCGTCACGCACAAGCGTTAATAAATATAGAATTATATTTGCACGTGAAAATTGACGGCAGAATGACGTCACGATGCATTATCATCAATGAGTTATCAAATTGAGACGCAGGGACAGTAACAGTCAAGTTACACGCGTGGTTGGAAAGCTATTTCGACTAATGGTATGCTGTAGATCTCTTTTGACACTTTGACTTTGATGTGGATCCGCCTTGCACTTCCCTACCAATGTCACGATTGAGTTCCTAATTTCACGTTCTACTGGATGTTCCAGTAGTTTAACTCTCTGAATTTCACAGCTGACAGAACGAAGTTTTGGAACCCGTATCTACTGCAATACGTGAACAGCCTCAAAGCTTGTGCATTAAATAACGGCCTTATCCTTAGTCGATCTGCTAAATACCTCAAATACCACGAATACTTGTTTGTTACCTTTCACGACAAGTTTGCCTCGAGACGATGTACATTCGTATTTGTAATCAATGAAATTTTAACACTTTTATTTCCCCTCGTGATCGTTAAAAACAACTGTGGAATCGGTGAAGATGGAAAGAAAAATATACTTTGAAACGAGAAAATCTGAAGAACGCAATCCAACTTATTGACAGAATAAACGTCTGCTATGAAATATAGAATAATCGCCAACCATTGTCGCTAATACACATTTCGGTATATCGCGAAGCAGAACGGTATTTTATTAACCCTCCGTAGGCAAACATATTTTTTCATACTCCGTAGGTAACCTAGGTCTTTTGTGTCCAAGTCTAACTTTCCTGCTGTTTCAAGCTTCGAAAAAATCTGAAAAAATTCCAGAGTACTTGTCAAAGTCTCTGCTACATCGTACAATCGTTCGTTAAGTGAAATGTTTGAAACTTTTCTCAATAAAAATACAAACTTGGGAGTGAAATTTCGCCTGGGTCACTAAAGACCCAGACTGCCTACGCAGGGTTAACACTCGTTTCAAATAATTCTTACTACTAAGAAACTTATTGTACGCTTGTCGTATTTTCAGGTATGCAGCGCTGACACCAAGTCGTGTAACAGCAACGATCATCAGCGTCTGGCTGGTATCGGTAATGACTGTGGTCCTGCAATCATCGTTGGACGTAGGACCGGACTTCTGCCGTCGTCGATTTAGCGGGATAGCTTTGGAGCAAATAATCGGGGCTACAATTCTCGTAGGTTTACCAATTTTAATAACCACCTTCCTCTACGTGAAGCTGGTAATTCGCGTCCGACACGCCACCAGGGGTTCGTACAAGCCACCGGTTGCCTTCTCCTGGGACTACGAGCTGACCAAGGCGAACATGTACAGCTGCGTGATGTTCGTGATCTTCTGGCTACCATTCGGCATAGCTGTATGCCTCAACTCCTTCCGATCGATAAGCGCTCGTGTTCTCTACAATTTGGCCTGGTTCGCCCTGTCTAAATCCTGCTTCAACAATTTACTATACTGCGTGGCAGACCGACATTTTCGCAGCGCCTACGTCAAGCTTTTCCATTACTGCTGCTGCAAAACCACGGTGAGTTTCTCGAGGAGAACACGCGGGGACGGTGGACGGAACACCAGCGATGTACGCCTCAGGGTTCACATTATCCATTCCTATGCAAGTCCGGCTTCCTGTCGGCCACCGATAGGCAGACCTAACGGACGTGACGTTTGCGAGCTGTAAACTGAGCATCGTATACTTGACGATCGGGATACTTGGAACAAGCTGTATCCACGTCGACACAAACGATCGCCGTCCAGTAGAGAACTTCTTCTTTTATTTATCCTCCACGACGAGAGCCAACTCCGCCTCTCGAATGCTTCCGCAATTGACGAAATTTTGCTTCGATGTAAAAGTAACGTTCGGTATCTCGAATATCTGGGTTTCGCTATTTGGTTACTTACTCTAGTTTACGTAGGTCTTTTGAATACGTTCGCAGAGATTTGTCGCATACAGGAGGATCATTTGAAAAGCTTTCGGTACGATAGAACCTCGTTGTCTGAATTGGTAAAGGTGATAAACGTTGTGGAAATATAGAATAATTGTTTTGCACAAGTTATGCAAATTTTTCAGTACTCTTTTTTCTGCATTTCAGATTATATGTACGCTACTTGCGTTTAGAATTTGCATTCAAATAGTATGGAAGTATTCACGTGCACTCTGTGTTCATAAGTATTAGTTCGTTCGTTAAATGTGAAGAAAATCTAAGTAGACAGTCGTTACGAAATTATTATGATCCTGAGAAAAATGATTCATCCTGGAATCTCGTGGTACAATGTGTACATACGATAAATCTTCTAAATGTATCGTTCCATTCAAGCGGACGTCATAAAAATAAGATCCTAATAGTGTGTCATTGATTATGCCACACCAAACGTTCACAGAAAATTGACTTTGAAAATGGGTTTGTTGTAGGTCGTTCAATTTGTCTCGGCAATACTTTCATATAATATAAAAACAAATTGTGGCTACCAATTTAAAAAGAATTCGTGGTATCGCCATTAAATTTGAAAAATCTATTCAAGTCATCGTATTGTGTTTGAAAAATCATCACACTTTCTCTTCTATTTTTCTCACGAATCTATCACTTACGAGAAAAACGTTGGAAACTAATATAACGTGAACACCCTGTATATTTTTACTGATACGCGATACTAACTTTAGCGAACAAATGTAATTTAATTTAATACGAACATAACAGGTGTCCTAATACTTATGAACGACAGTTACAATTTTTATCAAGCACAAAATAATCTGTTGCATCTTGGATTCGTAACGAATTACGTATGCATAATATAATTAACACTATGAGTAAAGCTTCCATTTTAATACCTGCCAAACTGATAACGAAATGTTCAGGTATTGGAAATTCGGATAAAAGAGGCTCTATTGTAGGAGCATTTGTGAAAATGCTATTTCGTTCAATTCTTATTAAATGGTTCTCGTAATTGATCTCTCATAATTCATTAGTAGACGTCTAATTTGGTTATGTCAGTGTAACGCTTTGTTCACGTCCACTAAATAGCCTTCGAATGATCAATATACCGGGTGTCTCAGTTTTTTCCGATCAAACTTTGTCAGCATGTTCTATGGGTATAAGTAAGAAGAAAAGGTCATATAAGCATAGGTGGTTTGGAGCTTTGTTAAAAAGTTACAACAATTATACTATCGGAGCGGTAACGGGTGTCCGGTTGTTACGATACAAAATAGGAACAGATCAGCGATATGTACATCTAGTCTGTTTATGCGAGTTACATTTACGATCTGAGATCGCTGAAGATGTTGAATGTAACTTTTACCAGCGCCATTTGTGTCATGCGTCATAGCAACAGCAAGTTCGTTGCCATTTCCTTCATACTTCGTATTTCTGTTATAACTTCTTAACGAAGCTTCAAACGACCTATGTTCATACAACATTTTTTTCTCACTTATACCCATAGAACACGCTGACAAAGTTTGATCCGAAAAAAATCAGGACACCCTGTATATGAACGACGAATTCCACGCTTTCGTAGAAGCAAGCCTGTCCTTCCGTCTTTCATAAAGAAAAAGAAGCTTTAGCAGGAAAGTAGCGCAGGTATTACTATTATTTTTGGCACTAACAAAGATCTATGGATAATTAACTCTTCTACTTTCGATGTACATACATATAAATATTGTCCAATCATCGACAGAAATCGGGCGAAGTTCCATGAGAAGCGTGCTACGTCCGATACGAGAGCATCGAAAGAAACTATGTAAAAGATTACGATTGACACTGAAAACAGGCGATAGCCGTCCATTTGGAAATTTTATCCTATTGTCGTTCTGATGCTAAGGGGAGCCTTTCCACCTTCCGTCTATACCTCTCCAGCTTTCTTCCTAAGGGCCGACCGTTTTCCGACGATTACATATCCGGCAAGAATGTTCGTCGTGATTGCTCTTTTTGATAACTATCGCGATCCCCTTGGAACACTCTTCAAAGTTAATTCGTTTGCGAAAGAGAAACCTCTGTAACGATATACAACTATAGGAGTACAAGCGGTTTAATTTTCGTACACGGACTTACAACGTAGAATTTCTATTTTTTTATCAGAGCCGTTTTGTATTCTGTTTAGCGTGTCTAGCTCGTTTCCATCGCAGAACAACGTTTTGTGCACAGGAATTGAGATTGAACGCGTTTAACGTTAAGACGCGCGATTTTATGGATTGAATATAAAAGTTTCATTACCCTATGCAAAGGAGAACCTTAGTTTTAGCGTCGTAACGCTCCTATTAAGCACGTATTACCGATAAGCTGGCGTGATACGGAAGTACGACGAAGATTTTGAAAGAAAAAAAAGAATTTTTAGATCTTTTTAGTTGCGAAATTTTTGGTTAATTTTTTCTGAAGAAGTTCATCTGTTAATTCTTGAAACATTGAAATTTCTGCGTAGATAGTAGTGTCTGCTCTTTATTGCAATACTTCCTCCGGCAAAGGGTTATCTTGAAACGCGTTACGTTATCTGATATAGAATACCAAGCTCGGTATTAAGAGGAAAGATCGAAATTGCAAGGTTTCTTGGTAATATCTTAACGCCTGGATGGAATCCTAATGGGAGTGGTTAGTCATATAATATTCTCGTGCTGCAGCAGCAATTTACATCGATACATTTTCAAGCGTATGCCGTGTATGATTTAAATATCGCAGTAACGATGATCTTCAAACGTTAAATCTGGATTTATGCAATATTTAACACGCCGTGCTGAATTCTTCGGCAACGTAAAGTTGTTCCGAGTATTCAAAGAGGGATGGAAAAGGTCACGTGATGGAATTAAGTGGTTCCGAGAAAAATCAATTTCCACTGCAGAACTTGTAGAGAAAAGGTCGCTTCTTTAATTTTCCATCCCGATGCTCTAGCGAAGTTGATATGTAACAGATTTAGAATGAACATGTTTGAGTAAATCAGTCGTTCAAATTTTGAATTAGAAATCCTATTATAATTGGTTGCCTTTTCTTTGTATAAAATTTGAAAATAGAAGAAACACCTGTTACTCTCTATTATTGATAATTTAATTCATTTAATACTCGCTAAATTAACATTTTTACCATTCGAGTCGGTACAAAAATGATAATAGGTATAATCCAAATGCTATATGAAAAATTCTCTTGTACGAGATAAATTTGAATTTGCATCTGGCAGAAATCTGAAACCGATAGCTAAGTGAACATTTTTCTTAACTTTGTAGTCTGTCTGTAGTGTCCAATGACAAAACACAAAAGATTGAAGAATTTCTAATAAGAAAGTACAAATTTCTTTATTTCGTCTAAAAATATGAAAATCTGATTTTACTTCAATCGTGAATTTTGAAATTTTACTTCGAGATTTTAAAAAATCGACGAGCCAGATGGTTCGATAAACATTCTGTAAACGTCGTCCAATTGTAAGCCGGCATCGCTTAATTTAACGTTAGAGCAGAATTTAATTACGAAATTCTTGCAACTAATTGTTCGAGTTACGCAATCTACCTGTATTTAACGCTTGAAGCTAATCGAAGAAAGTTTTTCTCACGCCGTGAAGATCCAACAGTTTGAAACTTCCAAGTCTACGGGTTAATTTAGTTGGAAAGTTCTTTTATCAAGTAAGTGGCTCCTGTACCTTCAGCTACATTCGTTTAATTGATATTTATAACGTATTTATACCATTACTTTAAAACTTCTGTTCCTAACAAACAAAGTAATTTCGTAATACCAGCATACGATATAAGATTCTATCAATTTAAATATTTATTTCATCATTTTTACGTATTTCCCATTACACTAGCCTACAAAATTTTCTGTTTCGTTTCATAGTAGACATGTTTTATGCTGAACTCGTATGTGCAATCCGTGTGTTTCCCATCACTCAGAGTTCTTGTGTGACGCACAGTTTAATTTTTAATATAATCCTATATTATTTAGAAGCTGTAAAGCATTGCTTAAAGTGTGGTAGTCTGGAATATTTTACTCGAGGAACATCACGTTCAAGTGTCCAGCAGTGATCAGCCAGCATATTAGGACTTCACTTGCCCTGGTACCTCTTTGCCACGCACGAAATTTCATTTAACAAAATCATTATTCGCTCTATATACAGGGTGATCCATTTAAAGTGACCACCTAATTATTTTCATTATTAGTAGGCAGCTCCAAATTTTTTTAGTCACAGGGAATACGTTTTCAAAGGATTTTCAAGATAGCGACCTTAGATTCTTTCCATGTCCTTTTCTCAGATAAGTTTTCAAACTCACGTTGAATATTTTTATGCATGAATTTTATATATAAAAAAGTGTACTATACTGTGGTCGTTGAATTCGTCTCAATGCCTGCTAGCTAATAGACAAACAGAAACTATAGGGTTATACGTGAAAAAATTGAACGTAGCCTTGCAAACTTATTTTAAAAAGAGGCAGAAAAAATGTAAGATCATCACATTGAAGATTCTCTGAAATCGTGTGATCTGTGACAAAGGAAATTTTAATTGGTCCACTAATAACGAAAATAATCGCGATCCACCCTGTGTAATAAAATTCTTTACTGTTGATTTCATTCTTCTGAAGACACTATAAGCGCAAATTAAAATCACCCTGTGCATTTTATACTGTTATTGACAAAATAACTGTGAATTTAGGTTGTTATCAAGTAACACGAAGCATTATTACACAAAAACTGCGAGTGATGGAGAAGA